TGCTGAGGACATGCTGGATATCCACTTCACTCATTTAGGGTATATCTTTATCAGAGGGACAAAATCTGGGGGTAATAGCATTCTCTTCCTAGGGCCCAGATTCAGATTAACAGTAGAAGTAAAAAATGAGCTATAAAGGGTGAAAAGATTTATAGGCTCTGAAGAGCAAGCAGAATATGAAATAAGCTATAAATAAGTTTAAAATACTCTTGACCTCCACCACAGCAACTACAACCAAGTCTTGACCTTGTTTCTTCATATGCACAAAAAGCACTTTTGACTTAGTATTACAAATAACATTGGACTATTTGGTTTCCTTGGTAACCTGAAGTTCTGCCCTGTAGGTGACAATCTGAGACTGCAGAGGCACCAATTTCTTTCCAGCTCTAACAATTCTCATTGTATGAATATCCGGAGCTGTAGAAAGCCTACTAAAGGGATATTGGTACAAAAAGTAAAACTATTGAACTATCAAACTTTAAGAAATAGAAGCAGAGTAAAAATGGATGTCAGGCTGGCAATGTTGCAGAACTCAGGGGAAAAAAGACAGGTCAAGTTTTTTCCATGGGCAGAATGTGCTCTCAGAAGTCCAAATTAATACTGTAAGAAGTCAAACTGACGGTCGGGCCCACCTCTGTTAACCAAGGCAGAGTCATAAGAACGTTTTGTTGAAAGCCTTTTTTTAAGGTGACTATGACCTATAAATTTCAAGGATGATCCACTTGTCATGTTTCTAAGAGCACATTCTTATCTAGAATTATTCTCTGATAAAGCATGATGAACTATTTTGCTGTACTGTTCAGGGCTTTAAGCACAGATATTGAGATGACAGGGCAGACATTTATGTCTGATCAATCCATCACCAACTGAAAGGACAGGAGAGAAATAAGAAAATTATTCAATTGGGCCTGAATGCCCTAGAAACTGCCATGTCAGAGGTTGTTCTTCGTGAAGAACAAAGTGCACAGTAACTGTGACAAATGTTCTTGGGCAAGATAGGTTAAATGGTTGCTCCTGTTTCAATAAGATGTGTGCAGTTTCTTGCTATGAACGAATAAATGACATCCACCACCTCCTTGCTCACCTTTTTGTCCCTGTTGGTTTCTCTTTTGATACAAATGTCTCTATAAAGAATTTTGGAGAGATTTGTCCATCTATATCACAAATGAACCAAGAGACATTTGGGGTATATCTCTGCATGATCCTGGGTCAGGACATTGTCTTCCTTTGCTAGAGACCGATCCTTGTCTATGGAAGGTTGGTCACACACAGCATTGCACAGGGATTCCCATAAAGAGCAAACCTCCAAGTTCTGAATAGAGAAGATACCAGACAGCTTTCTAAAAGTTACCTTTAGTGCTGATGAAAGCTGTTAATGTGTTAGCTTTTCATTATTGTAACAAATGCCTGAGGTTGTCAACTGACAAAGTGAAAAGGTTTATTTTGGCTCAGAGTCTTAGAGGTTTCCTTCCATAATTGGGTGTTGGTCCCATTGCTGGTGGTGAGGCAGCACATCATGGTGGGAGTGTATGGTGTAGCAAAGAGGCTCAGCTCATGACTGGGAAGTGAAAGAAAGCAAGAGGAAGGAGCTGGAGTTCCACTGTCCCCTTCAAGAACATGTCCACAGAGACCAGAAGACCTCCCACTAGGCTCCACTTCTTAAAAGTTCCACGACCTCCTGAGAGCACCCCCTAAGGACCAAATCCTGAGCACGTGGCCTCTTCTGGGACATGGAAGATCTGAACTGTAACAGGGAACACAGCTCTGAGTAATTTCCAGATGGTCTGCCAACCTCCATCTAAGATTAGCCATCGCACAGGTGAAGTGAAATCTGCCAAGCAAACACACTTCTAGGTGGTGGCCTCTCACTGGTCCCAATGAAGATTGAAGAAAGACAAAAACAAACCCTGCCTCATCCATGCTGAGGATATGTTGGAATCCAATGCACCCAATAAATGAGCATAGACCACGAATGTTACCCACCATCCAAGGACTCAGTCCCCCTTACACCACAGAGGAAGGACTGGAGCGGGAGGTGGCTGTATGTAGGGGAATCCCTCACATCACTGCCTGGCTCACAGAGGAGAGGCAGCCCCTGGTTTTCCCAGTCCTAAAACAAATGATGGTCATGAATCCTCATTAAATCTTGCCAGTTTAGAAAATAGGAATGTCTCAAATATTGGTAACCTGCCTGGCACACTTCAAGTTCTAAAGAATATTCACTTGCAAGATCCACTTCATCAAGACCCTAATCCCAAAAGTATGATGGGGGTGGTAGTGCTAGAAACAAGGGGTAGCTCCCACACCTGGAGCACAGCATGTGCTTGGGTTTGGCTAGCTGCGTCATTCCTTGTGCCTGTGTCCACTACAGCCTTGAGCAGTGGGCAGTCTATTAAACACCACTCATATGTGCCAGGGACAATGGTCTTCTTCCCAGTGTCCTGGCACTTGCTCCCATTCCAGCTCCTTCTGGAAGAGCATTGGTCCCTGAATCATTTCCCAGTGGGCTGGAGGTTCCCCCTCCCCCAGCCTGACTCCTTCCAGATCTTTTCCTGTCTATATTTCACCTACCCTGCATTGTCCAGTACTCCTTAAATTACCCAAAGACCCTGAGAACTAATGTTGCTGACCTTCCCTGCATCCCTCCCTTCCTCCTTGGATCTGTTCTTGAGACCAGGGTTCTCCCCCTGGAGTGCTGTTGGCACATTGCCCGTTGAGGCAAAGAAAACTGGCAGGAAATGGGCAAACCCCTTTCAGCAGGCATTGGCTTGGCATGGATAGTTAGAATCAGTGGTGAAAACCTTTCAGGCCCTTTGTGCTCTGTCCCCTCTCTGTCAGTATTCCTCAGCATCCTCCTCCTTTAGACATCTTCCTTCATCTTCCTCTGACTCATTGCTTTTCTTTGTTCTCTCTCACTGTCTGCTTTCCTTCCTGTTTTTCTAGTTGGACTTTCCCCCCTGCCTTTAGTTTTCTTCCACTTGTAGTGTCTTACCCTTTCCCACACACAGGGATAATCTAGTTGCCTCAATTTGTAAAATAGCCTCCCCAAAATCTCTCTGCAGATGCAACTACCCCCTCTACTTCTTCCTCCCTAGTTTAGGCAGAGTAACCTCTTTATGTCCCTTTCTGATCAAAGACCTTGCACTTAGTTCTAAGCACCCATAGAATAAAGCGCAAACTCCAATATGGTGGACAGTACTCTTCATTGTTGGCTTGATACCTGCCTTTCTTTCTTCCACCTAATATTGGTATCTTGATTCAACAAACAAGTGAATTTATTTATTGGTTGTTTACCATGAGAAGGTATTACAACAGGAATGAAGATAAAATAAATGGAGAATGAATGCAAAAAAAATACTTTTGAAATGATAAAATATCTAGGATTTGTTCCCAAATAATCCAGGGGATGAGGGCAGGGGAGTTGGCACAATGGTAGAAATGTAGACAAAACATGACCATGAGTTGATGATTTTGGGATCTGGGTGACAGGTATGGGGGTTCATTATATTAATTTCTCCCGTCAGTATGTTTGAAATTTTCCTGTTGAAAACATGATGGACCAACAGAACAATATGCCTCTGGATCGCCTTCTCTTCACTGTTCTCCATGCCCTCTATGCCTCAGCCACATATGCTTTCGGTTCCTCTGACAGTTCAGCATTTGACCCTCCAGGTTTTGTATACTCCTGCTGCTAAGAACGCTATTTCTTCCACTCTACCTACTTCTTTCTGCTTCTCCCCACCCCACCCCTGCCTACCCCACTTCACCACCTCATCCCACCTCAGCCTCTCAGCCCAGTTCAAACAAACAGCATTTTCTCTTGGAAACCCTTCCTGGCACCTCCAGACCAAGTGAAGGGTCCCTGCTTTGTGTCCCCACTGTGCCTTTACATAACACTGCTGTAATTTTCTGCAGTTGCTGGTGTTTATAGTCTGCCTTTCCCACTAGGCTGTAAGCACACTGCAATCTCCAGAGCCTAGCCCATGGCAGGAGCTCAGGAAATTATTGCCAAATGAATGAATAGAATGAACTACGTAGTCTCTAGCAGAGCAGCCATCACCTTCCTCTATGGTCTGGTGCAGGATGGTGAGGAAGGGCAGGCACCACCTTGGCAGTAGCTAGGTGAGTACTGATGACATGGCCCATCACTCCTGGGGTTGTCAGGCACCTCCCTTCCCGCCAGGGCAGCAAGTTTGAGACTCAGTCCACTTAGAGAACAATTCTAGAACTTTCCTGAGCATAGAAATTTTGAAAAAATTTATAAAATAGAAATTTATAAAATCTAAACTGATGACCTGATAATATTTTTTTTCTGGGTTTTCAGTAATGCAGGTACCAGAGTCAAGAATAACATTTATTGAAAGTTCCTTCTAAATAATACAACACCTGCATTCCTCCGTACTTAACACAGAGCATATAATTATAAACTGTATGACTAGCATGGTTTATTATTTAACAGGAGAATGAAGGATAATATTGGACCCTGTATCTCCTCTTTGTCTGCTGAACATGTATGGCTGGTCATACACAATTGTCAGAGAGCATCCTTTCCTGGCCATTCTAACTTTAGTAGCCACATCCATCCAGTTTTTCTCTCTCCTGTTCAATTTTTGATTAACACTTATTATTACCTACAATCATGTATGGTTTACTTATGGATGGTCTGCTCCACATTTATTCTTTAAAATATAGGCTTGTCTAATGTTAGCTTACCAACATAGAAAGCAAAGCTGAGTTACATGGTAGGTGGTCAGTGGATGGATGGATGGATGGAGGGAGGGAGGGAGGGATAGATGCAGAATTCAGTACTGTATAGCCCCCTCTGCAATAATAAAAGCAAACACTGTTGAGAGCCACAGCCAAAGGGGCCCCAGCAAACTTCCAGCTGCCGGCTGATGATCCAGCTGCCAGCAAACTTCCAGTTGCCGGCTGATGATTGGCTCACAGTGGCCCCAGCAACATCTAGCTGATTGGCTCCTCTGCGGTGATGTTCATTGGGCTGTTTCCCTGCCCTTCAGACTTGGAGCCATGTTCTTGTAAAGACTTCTGAAGGTCCTCAATTTGCTGCTGCAGTTCTCGGATTCGCTCTTTGCTCAGCCTTTGCTCTGTTTCCAACTCATTCATCTTGCGGTGCTTCTGTTCTAGCTGCTCCTGTAGCTCTTCAATACGCTCATTCTCAGTACCTTCCTGTTGCAAGCGAAGCATCTTGTTTTCATGTTGTAGTCGAATAAATACCTCCCTATATTCCACTGGCATAATCTCAGCAGCAAGATTCTCAAAACTTTTTGTAGCTGATGCATCTGTTTGATTTAGGTGATCCTGTTGTACTTGTGAACATCGAAGCTCTTCATTTGTTTCTTTCAGAGTATCACGCTGCTCTATCAGTCTCTCTTTTTCCTTAAGTAAAGCTTCATGTTTTTCTTCAAGCCGCTTCATTTCAAATGCTAGTGTATCTGCCCTTTTGGATTCAGAGGAAAGTTTAACGTGAAGGTCCTGAATCTGCCTTTTGTACGTTTCTAATTGTGTGCGTGCTGCATTTGCCTTCTTTAATTCTTCTTCCAAGCTGACTGTATTATGCATATACATCATGTTTGTTTCCTGTAAAGTTTTAACCTGCTTGCGAAGGTCATTTAGATCTTGTAGTTTCTGACGATATATTTCAACTGTTGACTCTAGTTTATTTGCTTTATCAGAAGTAGCCCTAAGAACATCTATTTCATCCTTCAGGGCTCTTGTTTCTTCAGCAAGACTAGTCAATTCATCATTCCTATGCTGAAATTCAATTAATTGCTTTTCAAGTTCTTCACAGTGAACACGGTAATCATCTTTTGCAGCTTCAAGCCTGAAGTTCTCTTCCTGTAACTGTTCTAGTTGTAATTGTGCATGAAAATACTTCTTTGCAACCATCGTATTTGGATCATCAAAAGAGCCATCCAACTGGTCAAGTTTTTCATTCATCATCTCATTCTCAGAAACCAGTGAATTCTTCTCATCTTGAAGTGCAGTCACCTGCATATCTAGTTCTTGGCATCTTTGTTTCAGCTCTTCTTTCTCTGCTAGTGCCTCCTGAAGTTCTTCCAAAGCCCTTTTAAGCTGTTGTTCTAATTCTCCAACAGCATCATTTGTAGGAGAGTTCATTATTTCTTTACTCATCAACTCTTGAATAGCAGTCATGACCACATGTTGAACAGATTCTTCAAGTGTCATTATATTTTTAATATGTTCTTGCTTCTTTTCACAGTTTACCGCACAACCTAAAATAAGCTGTAGCAACCTCCCAAGCTCCACAGAATTCGAACATTCAGTTATTTGGTTTAAATCGGGAATAAGTTCTTCAGAAATCTGCTGCCCCAAAAACTCATGGTAGTAACTCATAATTCCTTGAAGTACTTTCTTTAAGTTACTAGCCTTTATTCTCCAGTTGTCCCCAACATCCTCTTTAATTCGGCTTAACCAAGATTCATTGAACCAAGCTATATCAATTTGATGAAGAACTTGTGCCATGGCAACTCCATTAGTCAGCTGTTTAACATCTTGACAAGGCGAGGCAGTCTTGAATGTCTGCAGCCAGATAATGAGGCTGTCGCAGAGCGGCAGCTCTTGATGCGGCAGCGGCTGCGCCTCCTCCATGGCCGGGACGAAGTCGACGCCTCTGACTACCATACCTCCCTCCTCCCGAGGGAGGGATAGATGCAGAATTCAGTACTGTATAGCCCCCTCTGCAATAATAAAAGCAAACACTTCTTCTTTTTTTTTAAATTTTGCAGTACTAGGGATTGAACCCAGGGGTACTGTACTACTGAGTCACATCTCAACCCTTCTTATCTTTTATTTTGAGACAGCCTGTTGTTACATTTCTGAGGCTGACCTCAAATTTATAATCCTCCTGCCTCAACCTCTCAATTCTCGGGAATTATAGGCAAACACCACCATGTCCAGCTAAAAGCAAAAATTTAAAAAAAAAAACAGTCTTTGACCTCTCAATTCAGGCAATAAAGAATCCTTTCTGTAAAATATCTAAAGGTAATAAAACACTTCAGCAACATGAGATGAAATAAGAAAAAGACCTGTGTTACCCCACAATTTCACTCTGCAACCAAAAGAAGTTCTGAGTAACCTAGATAGCTTTAGACAGAAAATGTTGACCATGAAATCTCCTTTTATTTTTTAGTAGAGTATTTACATAGCAGGAATAAGACTCAAGTACTGTCAAACCAAGGAATAGTCTATACTATTTGTAAAAACAGAAATATCTTTGTATGCCTTTCCAAATCCTCCACAACATATTTAATTACTTTGTTATGTTACTGTAGGAATCTTTTTTTATTGTTGAACATTTATCACAATGTTGCATTATTTTAAGGACTCTTGCTATAAAAAATATTTGTATTAAGTTACATCTTCATGCTAGATGATAATGTCTATAGAACAAATCCCTTGAAAACATATTGTTAGATTGGAGGATATAAATATCCTTTTGTCACAGATTTATTTATCTAGAGAAGTTTACTTAGGAAAAGCAGATACATGACAGATTTATTTAGGAAAGCAGATACACATTCAAGGGAGAATGCAGGCTGTCTCCAGTGACACATCTTTTGGGTTAAAGTAATAAATACACGTTCAGGTGAGCATGTAGGTATCTTGACAGTGAGAAGCTTTTAGGGTAAAACAAGGAATGTACACATTCAGGGGGGAAATACAGCCCTCAATCAGATGGAGAGACAGCAGCCCCTTAACACCGGCATTAATATATATAAAGGGACAGTAGTTAGGGGCTGGGCTAGAGGTGGAGCCAGAGCAGAGAAATTAAATTTTGTGCAAGTTTTTCTAGCATTTGCACACAAGGGCTTGGATCGAGGGCTAAGGATCAAGGCGAAGGACGCGGGCTAGGTTGCTCACGTGATGCTTGCTTTGCATTTCAAAGGTTCATGGGTGTTTCCTGCATTCCAATGGCTTGTGGGAACTTCTCTTTTCAGACTCAATCTTTCCTTTTCAGTATCCCCAAATGCCTAACTCATTTCAGATGTGAATATTTGTAGGGGATTGATAACTTCCTCAGACGTCCTATTTCTGAGTCCTTGACCTATGAAATGGCCAGGATCTTCAACTTCACCCTGCCTGGAGTGCTGCCCTCTGCCCTGCCCAGTGGGTGGGGCTCTGACTCGGCAGAGCCTCCCATCCACCCACTTCCTCCTTGCCTCTGGACCTGGCTTCCTCCACAGATTCCTGGTGCCACTGTTCTGCTCCTGAGATGGACTGTTTCAGGGCATTGTTCAGCACTTTGCACAATAGACAGGTTCACTCCTGCCTATCCGGTGTCCAGAGTCCAGTCCTTCCTTTCCCCACTGCCTTCTGGTTTTGTGATTGTTGTGGGACACACGCAGAGTGATTTTTGTAATGACTCAGTTATTCTGGGCTATTTTTGGTCACCTCTGCAATTTACATAATATTGCTTCCTTGGCCAAATACTCTTAAATGTGACTCCCAATTCTAACATGTCCTTTAACATGATCTTCTTTATAATAAACAACTATATAGCATGGGTTCTAGGATGTCCTCTGAAAAAAACTAAAGAGACAACTACTACAACTCATTAAGACTAGCAATTCTAATTATCTAAATCACAAAAGAATGGCATTTAACTTGTTTTTAATTTTTTTATTGTGCAAAAATATGGATAACTGGAAATTTGCCATTTTTAACTAATTTTTACTGAAAATTGAGTGGCATAAAGAAAATTTACAATGTCGTATAACCATCATTGCTGTTCATTTCCAAAACTCTTTCAACCTCAAACAGAAATTATAACCATTAAGCAATAACTTAATCTCTCAAATGTGGTAATCTCTATTTTGCTTTCTGTCTCTATGAACTCATGTATTCTAAATACCTCATATAAGTGGAATTATACAATATCATCTTTTTGTGACTGGCTTATTTTACTTAACATAATGTTTTTAATGTTCATCCATGTTGTAGTATGTATCAAAATTTCATTTCTCTTTATGGCTGAATAATACTCCATTATAGGTATATGCCACCATTTATTTATCCATTCATTTATTGATGGACATTTGGCTTATTTCCTCCTTTTGGCTATTGTGACTAATGTTGCTTTTATTAAATGACTAGCGATTCTAATTACCCTAATTATAAAAGAATGGTGTGTAACCTGTTCTTATGATTCATCTATTCTAAACATTTCCATTCTGAATAATCAGTGCTTTAAACAGCATACCAAACTAGTCGAATTTTTATTTGTAAGCTAGTCTCAGTGTGAGAATCATTTGAGGAGTTTTTTAAAATACAAGAGAATCAAAATAGGTAAAGAGAGGGAAATGAAGAGAAAAACCAAGAATAGCATTGTAGAACAAAGCCAAAGGTAACATATACAATAATGTTTAATGTACCAGAAATTCTTGAAAAGGAAGTAGGTCACAATTTCTAGGCCTCCTAGTGATTGAATGGGGAGAAGATTAGCCACAAGTCACAGGGTTTATAAGACAAGCAAACAAGAAACTTTCAGTAGCTCAGGAGAAATAAGCAAAGATGATCCCCACACTGAATTACAAGAGACTGGAAGAACCATTTACAACTTTATTAGCTTTCTTACATGAATACAAATTAAGTTTCCTATGGCTATTTCTGACAGTGCTGCTCATGGGAAGGTAAAAGTGTAACATGAAGTAGAGTTCAAAAGAAACAATTACCAAAAAGTGGCAAATGAAAGCTTTTCAGAAATTCAGCTCTCTATCCAGGGATAGAATCTGGATCTTAACAGAAATGAATAGGCTACATATTATCAAGGATGATTTCTTATTTATTTCTGGGATTTTTTTGTTATTGTTTTGTACCATAAACCCCCATCCCACCCCTGCCTTTTGAGACAGGGTGTCATTAAGTTGCTTAAGGCCTTGCTAAATTGCTGAGGTGGCTTTGAACTTGCCATTGTCCTGCCTCCTCAGCCTCCCAAGCTGCTGGGATTACAGGTGTGCACCACTGCACCCTGTTCTTAAATATTTCTTAAAACAAAATTTTTTATGAATTGAGTAGTAGTGAGATTTAGATTTAGATTTCCTGAGAAGAACCTAGAAACCTTTTGCCCATGATATTTATTATGGAAAAACTGATACATGGAGAAATCCTGTAAGTAGAAAATAGGCCTGGCACTTCTTTATTAAAATTAAAAGGACTAGGCAATATCAAATGTAGGTAAGAATGAGTAGCAACAGAAATTTTCACACACTGGTATTAGGATGTACAACCACTTTGAAAAAAAAAGTTAGGGCATTTCTCAGAAACTAGACGTTCATAAACCATATGACCTATGAATTTCACTCTTATTTATTTACTCAAGATAAATAAATATAGATACTCAAAAATGGACTCCCACAAAAAGTGCATAGCATCATTATCGTAGTAATTAAAAACTGGAAAAAGTTTGTTTTCCATCAATAGGATCCTAGATAAATAAACTATGGTATAGCTACACAACAGAATTCTATTTAACAATAAAAAGACTAACCAACACAACCTCAAAATGTAAATATGAATCTCAAAAACATTATACTGATAAAAAAATTGGTAGAGTAGGGAAATAACATGAAAAATTTAAAAGCTGGAATTAAGTCAGGATGTATATTCTTGTCCAGTTTCATAGCCCAAGACATGCTACCTCAGCTTTGCCTCAAGGAAAATAAGAATAATAATCCTTGCTGTGAGAGTCAAAAATGCATAGATGTGATTTTATTTAGAATTTTTCATCTAGATTATCATGTATGTCTTTCTGTAACTTTTATTGGTTTGAGAGCGTTTGGTAAAGATCACTGTGGAACAAATACTATCATTTGTCAAAACAAAAAAGATATCAGTTGGCAAAAGGTGAGAAAAGAGAAAATATGATTTAAAGAGGGTATTGTGTAAAAAATGTTTTATGTTGTTCCAAAAAAAAAAAAAAAAAGATTTTGCTGTGTGAAAGAAGCCTTACCAAAGAGTTCATGTTATAGGATTTCATGTAGAGGCATTTCAAGGAGAGACAAAGCCAATCAACAAAGAATAAACTAGAATGATGGGTCCCTTTGGTGGCGGTGGGGTAAAGATGAATTGTGACAGGGAAAGGCAAGCTTGCTGGGATAATGCTAACATACTATATTTCATAGGCTGTTAAAAGGGACCAAAATTCATCAAATGGTACTTAAGATCTGAGCATCTCACTGTATGAATATTTTAGCTCTAAAGATAGTACAAATAAATATCAAGCTCTTATTACTGAAGGGTATTTAGAAGGAAGTACACTAATATCTATAAATTTAAAATTCATTAAAAAAATAAAGGTGTGGGCTGGGGATGTGGTTCAAGTGGTACCATGCTCACCTGGCATGCATGAAGCCTGGGTTCAATGCTCAGCACCACATACAAACAAAGATGTTGTGTCTGCCAAGAACTAAAAAATAAATATTAAAAAATTTTCTCTCTTTCTCTCTCTCTCTCTCTCTGTCTCTCTTCTCTCTTAAAAAAAAAGGCAAATAGAGGGATAAGTATGTGGGTAACTGATAAAGCAAGTAAAGTGCAATGCTAATAGTAGAATCTAGGGGTGAATTTATGGCCACGTACTTTAAAATTCTTCCAACTTTACTGTATGCTT